CATTTTACAAGCAATTGCTTTGCATAACAAATAACATACTAGTACGTGTTTCAATTTTACAAACAATTTCCAGACAACAAACATTTACCTACAAATTTTCGTCGTCCTTAAGCAAAATTTCTAGGAAAGACTGTGATGTACGACTAGCAAATAACGTATAAATCAAAACGCACAATAAAGTTTTTTCATAAACGTAAAAAATTCTAATATAATAACATAAAGCAACATTTTAGACGATATAAGAACATAAAAAGCGAAAGAAGAAAAACTGAAAAACGCGAAATAAACCGAGGACACGAACTCACCTGAGAAGCAAACGCTTTTTCGCAAAACGAGCACTTATAAGGCTTGACACCAGTGTGTCGTCGTTCATGGATGGCGAGGCCGGTTCGCTGAGAGAAAGTTTTTTCGCAATATGTACACTGATATGGTTTTTCACCAGTATGCTTTCTTTCATGTCCTCGCAACAACGACTGAAATGGAAATGACTTGTTGCAGAAGCTGCACACATGAGGGAATGACTCGGCTTTTGCGCTCATATATAATAATTTAGTCTAGACAACCAAATTCGGCAAACTGCCCACTTTGACTCCAAACATAATCTACACAGCAACAAAAACAAAGTAGAACATAAGGTATCCAAACAATAACGACAATGATTTGCAGGTTGCCTCTACGTCCGCTCTGTATCGATCAACTCCACCGATTCGAAACAATGAATTTTACGAGCATAATTTAAATTGGCGTTATTCATTCCGTGGACGTTTGCTTGAATTTCTGAAAGCATCAAATAGAAACAATTTATATGAATCTTATTGATTTTCAGTTCTCTACAGTGTAAAATAGGATAGGCGCCAGAAGCAATGGTCTCTGTGTAGTATGTCAAAGAGCAGTCTTTGGAAAAATTTATTTACTTGAGCATGAGAATAAAAACATTTTTCAGCAGAAACGATGACAGCATTCAACAGTCAGCTAGCATGCCGATTTTTTTGCCAAAACCGGAATTGTAAAAATTATTGGATAGCATTCATTACTTTAAAAAATCATTTATTTTAGTGACCTAGTGTCTTTATGACTGTAAGTTGTCTTCCATAAAAGCCCCATTGTTCATAAATATAAACTAAAAACTGCTGCATTTACATGCCTTACATTTACCTTCCCTGACTGTTTAAACATTTATTATAAAATCACTGAGTATAGAATAACTAATGAATCAATCATGAGAGATGCAGATGTAATTCAACATTTGGCCACTGCAAACTGCCTGTTGAAATGGTAATTTGTAAACATTTTGAATCGTTTCAATGCTTCAGACTAACGGCAGATAAAAAAAAATTGACGAATTGCTTGAGAACATCGTTCTGAGCCACTCTTAAGTAAAGTGTCTAAGCATGCATCGGAAACATTAATTAGTTGCTTATCGGTCTCATTTATTCGGGTTGCTTGCTGCCCTCCGCGTTGAATTCTGTGATATTCTCGTTTCAGAAGGGGAATATTGCGTGTTAATAAGTGTGACAGTTGGTACATTAAGTAATCACGTGTAATGAGTAGGTTTTCGGCTTTTTCAGCTCATTAGAGATGGAATACAAGGGGCTGAACAAAATAGACGGGGCATTGCTAATTCATGTTAAAAGAAACATTATCGTGAAAGCAAAACATTTTTATGACTGATTATCAGCCTGTCATTTAAGAATATATTTCTCACTATTTTTTTCATGATTATGTACGGTTTTATATTAATGGTAAATGTTAACAAAATCTAAAGATGAAAGCTCCTCATTTATTGAATCTCGTTTGTCGCGGTGAACAAGGAAAATCGCAGTAAGAAGCAGATTCCATAAAGCAAACGTGGAAAGGAGTAAAATTATTAATCGTTAGACTAAATGAGGATTTGTCATCAATCTTGAAACTATTAACCAACAAAGCATCTGTCTGCTGCAAATGAAGCCAAAAACCGCCTGGAAGCGCTTTCTGAAAATAAGCTATGGGTGATTTATGCATGCTAATCGCAATAAATTTACACTAAATATTTTCAACAGGCTTACTACGTTAACTCAACTATTAATGATTCAAACGATTGGTTTTCAAGGACACGAAAGAAAGCACCTTACGTGCTTTCTGCATCACCATGAACGGGAGGCATATAATATAGGCACATCTCCAAAACTGACTCGCATGGCAAAATTGGCCAAACTAATGAATTGGTTGGATTTTGTTGCTATACATTGCAATGAATTTGATGTAGCATGTTAGCACAGTTACATGGCGCAGTTTGATGTAGCATGTTAGCACGTTTATGCATTCACAGCTCCATGGTATTTAAATGCCTTGCATAGGACACAAAACTGTCACTGAGTTGGGCTGAACAAGAGCTTGTTTGAAGCAATTAAAAGCAAGGGGGCGTGCATTATTGCAATGCAACCTGGTTTACTGACCACCAACCATCTTACACTACCGCAGTATTGTTTTGAAGTACGTATTTCACCATGTAAATCCGGTATCAGCAGTAAAAATATGACGCAGTGTTACTTGACTCGTACGTGTCTTTGCAAAACATCTTCTTGCATGTTTGGAAGTGTCATCAAGAGAATCCTGTTTAGCACAGTTACACAGCATTATAAAGAACTGAGCGATAGGTCTATCCTATCGATCTCGCTTTGTTATAGTCAATTCCAGTTCGGTAGTGAAGCCGACTACCAGTTATTGCTACTCAGATTTTGGGAGAGTCATTTTCTATGTGATGAAGGATAAATACTATTGTTGGACTGCTTAAAAAATGAGAAAGAAGTACTGAAGAGTTGTTTGATTAAAGTGGTGAATCGGCATGATGTGAATGTGAATCGGAACGGAGTCAAACAAAGGAATGACTCGGGTGTAGCGCCTTCTGTTCCGTG